AGTGTAAAACAATATTATCTTTTCACAAGTCATATCCTTGTCTTTCCAGACTCGATCCCAGTCACAAAAGCTTCCTGCCTGTGTGTCTTTTAACCTTAGAAAGAGCTTTCTTGTTAATTTTAAATATGTTTCTGGTTCTGTACATCTGAGTTCTGTCTTGGATCCTGACTTTTTGATAGCTTTTGGTGTCTTTTGGATCTAACTCACAGCAGATTCTTTTTGTTGCTTGGATTGGGGGATATGATGTGTCTCTGCCACAAAAGCAACAAAAACAACAAAACAAAAAACATACAGAAACAACAACAAAACACCCCAAACTCATGGCTGCCTGCAATGTTTCTGAGGTCCTTGTTAGTCAAGGCTGGTCAGCAGGGTTCACATTGCTAGAGCCCTTTTCCAGAGTCCTACTGTGCCTAGATGTGTCTTTAGCTTAGGCCTGTGAGGAAATTTTTGAGTTTCACTGTTAATGTTCAAATTTGATTGTTTAAAAAAATGATCTGTAAAGTACCTGATCTTTTGTTTTTATGGAGAGTCTGGTTATACATGTTGACTTCACAATTCTCTCCTCGTTTATTTTTATAGCAACTTCTAATCTCTGCTGGGTCTGTCATTGTCTGGAATTCACATGACACATACCCATCTTCCATAACTCCCTGATTTTTTCTCATCAGTGTTGTGCCTGATAACATCAATGTGTGATTTGTTCTTGCATTGCTACTTTGAATGTTCTGTCTTGTCTCCATGAAGAAAAGAAGCAGGGCTCCTGTTCTTATTAATAAAAACTTACTCTATTTTAAGCTAAGATTATTTAATTGAAACTAAAAAACATTTAATTTCCAGTATTATTCTTCATTTAAGATTCCATAAATCTGTATAATTAAAGTAAAAAGGTTCACAAGTAAGTTAAATACTAAGATGATGAAGTTATAACTATTACTTTATATTTCACATGAGCCAGAAAAGTATTTAGTGTATAAACATATTTTCAAATACAAATACCTATATTTTAAGTAAGAATAAAATACATGTGTTTTCTCTTTCTGCTTCCTATTTTTAATGTGCTAATCTTGGCACATCCACTGTTAATTTTGTGACTATTCAAACTCAAAATAAATCTTTATTTTTAAATTGGCATTTCTTTTAAACAAAAGTTCTTTTTTTTTTCTTTTTTTTTTTCTAAGACTGGATCTCATGTATCCCAAGCCCACCTCGAACTTCCTGTGTAATCGAAGACAACCTTGAACTTATGATCCTTCTGACATGACTCTCTGAGATCTAAGATATGCCAACAACATCCCATTTCTATGGTGCTGGGGACTGATCTCATGGCTTCACGCATGCTAAGCAAGCACTGTGTCAATTAGGTGACATTTCCAGGCCAAGAAATGGCTCAAGGATGCTAGGGGTTGTTCCTGTGCAGAAAAGCATGGGCTTTTATCTTTGCATCCCACATCAACAACACAATATAGAATCTGTTTGAAGGAGGCAAACATCATTTTGGTCTTTTAGCTAATGCATCTCCCCATGTTGAATTGCCTTCTCTAGAAGCTAATGCAGGGAAATTTGGAGAATGCTGGGTACTGTGAGAATGTCAGCAGAGAGAGGAGGCGAACAGGTTATAAGGAGTCAAGAGCAGCAGCCTGAAGAAGCTCAGAAGAGTGGGAACTATTTAGGATGCCTGACTTTATGAACATTTTATAGTTCAGGGTGACATTTGTCTTGAGGAAGGAATTTAAATAAGCAGTTGATGTGCTTTCGGATTGAGATGAATTTTTGAAAATAAAGATTTAAACATTTTTTGCATAGTTGCAAGATGACAAATGGATTTGGCAAGATTGGCACTTTGAGGGCAAAAAGCAGACACTTAAAAAGAATCTATAACATTGTTTGGAAATGATTCCTACTGTCTATTTTATATCTTTTATTCTCTCTTACACATGGTTTTTAGGATTCTGAAAACTTCTTTTTTTGAATTATAAAGGCATACTATATGTGACTTAAGCAAATTCATGAATTCTAAGAAGGAGAAGGGAAGAGGAGAAAATAGTAGGAAGTTTGTTTTCTTTAATTTCATATCTTGACACAAAAGAGACACTCCATATGTCAGTGATTTAAGAATGGTTTTCCACTTTAAACCTATTCTCATCCTGTTCAACACAGCATCCTGGAAAAGCTTGTTTGTTTGAATAGCACTAAGGGGTGACTGACTTATCCCATGGCTCAAACTTCTATTTAGTCCCTTTGGACCCAACCCCTCCTCTGATCCAACTGTTGCCATTGTGAAGAGAGGATGGGATCACTTCCAGGTGGTAATAGTCTCCAGGAGTTGTGACTTCTGTCTCTTCTGATTTGTAAGTGAGAGGCTCTTAGGAAGGGTCTGGAAATCACTGGAATTTCTCCTTTTTCGTAGGATGATAGAACAGAATCTTTTACAAAGAAATACCTGACAGTCCACCAGTATTAATGACTTGCAATTTGTTATTCCAAAGAGCTGGACTTTGTCGGGTCAATGAAGGGGTAGCCTGGAGACTCCCTCCCATGAATAAGAGGATGGAATGAGTGCCAAGTGTGTTCTGTGCAGGCGTAGACAGGTAGGCTCATGGATACAGCATGGAATGGTCTTCCATCCACTCATCTTTCACCCCTTCAACAAATAGTCATTAAGTTCCTACTCTGTGCTAGGCATCATTTCTTACTGCCAAAGAGTTGTTTGTAATACAGTAAACCAACGAAATCCCTGTTTCACGAGACTTGCTCCACCAGTGGTAGAGATAAATAAGAAATGTGACAAATAAATGGTGTAGTTTGATAAAGTGATGGATGCTAAAGAGTAACGTAGGAATGAAAGAAAGGGGATTTCTATGTGTCGTGTGTGTGTGTGCAGGCTACTACAAATTTGAATTAGGCTGACAGGGAAAGTTTCACTGAGCTGCCAGTCCTTTGGAGTTAGGTCCCAAAGAAGGTGATGGCAGGAGGCATAGGAGAACTCCAGGGGCAGGAAGAGTTTAAGCGGTGAAAGCTGCAGTGCAAAGGCAGTGAAGTGGGACTGTGCTTGGCGTGTTTGAAAAATGGCGAAGTCGGTGTGTCTAGAGAAGATTACAGTAGGGCTACTAAGAGGTGAAGTCAGAGGTTATGCAAGAGGGGCTGAGAAGTTTGGAGTTCTTGATTTAGGGCCAAAAGGGAGCACCAGGGACTGAGCTAGGAGATAGCCGAAAACTATTTATTGTCTGTAACATATTGTTCACAAGCAGAGTCCCAACAACCAGAACCATTGTTTTTGCCTAGTAACTGTTTACCCAGAAGCAGGATGGCATGGAGAAGCAGGTGGCAAGTGACCCAGGCTATAACTGAGTGAGACCATGAGTTTCCTACTTCTTGGCTCAGGACCCTCACAAGGGTCTTGTGTTTATGTTGTTGTTGGTTTGTACTTCCCTCCTGTGGCCCAGTGTCTGCACTCCTCTTTTCACTGTTTTACTAAACAGAGGCTGGCCTACTGCCTGACTTAGGAGCTAAGTCTCTTCCAACAATCACTTTAAAGTTTGTAGGATGTTACAAAGCCCTTTCAGATACTGGATTGGATCCTGGAAAGGAAAAGAGACTTTAGTAAAACAAACAAACAAAAACGAAACAAAAAACCAACTGGTTAAATCTAAATAAGCTATAGTGGGTGTCATTGCCATACTAAGAATCAATTAACTTGTTAATCTTCTAGTAAATTTGGTAAGTACTAAAGGCCATTAGTATAAGCAACTCGGTACAGGATGTACCTGAACTTTCTATATTACAATCACAATGTGTATGTAAATGGAATTATTCTAAAATAAGATGCTTATTGTAAAATAACTCCCAATCCAAACACAGAATGCACACCTGCACGGTAGACAGGTGGATCATGAGTTGGAGGTCATGCTCCAACAAGCTACACACAAGAGATTTTCTCTTAAAAAACAAACAAGAAAATCTCCCAAGATAACTCAAACAAAGATAAACAAAAATCATCTTTTCACTTGGATTAAGCAGCTGTTTTTCACAGCGGGGTGACCAGAAACACTAACTAGGTAATGAGATCTCAATCAAAGCACACAACCAAGGACAATGATTTAAAGGCTCCTGAACATGCCCGGCAGTTGGCCTTGGGATGGCGAGAACACACAGCCAGCCAGCATTTGACCTTGAGATCCTCTTCTAAAGGCAGGTTAAATTATTAAGTTACTAAGCTAAATCCATCCTGTTGGACTGTCTTGGTTTTTGCACACTCTTTTTTCTGTAGGGGAAAAGCTTATGGTAATAGTATTGAATGAACAGAGTGGTGGAATCATCCATTTTATTCCCAAAAATGGTTGTTTTAACTCTCAGACCCAAGGCTATTTCTATCTTTTCACTTGAGATCATGAATAAGATCAGGTCAGAGTGTTGAAAAGTAGGAAGGTTGGTATTCAGTTAAGAAGCAAATGAGGCTCCCATATGCCTTGCCTTTCTTCCTGATGATGCACAGCGGTACCCTGGTTAGAAAAGTAGCTTAGCCCTCCACTGCTTTGTCCTTACATACATGGATAGCATACGGCTGATGAAAAGTGAAGGACTTTCTTACATCTGATCACAAGTTTTATCATATCATACACTTGATCATGCTTACTTACAAGATGTTGTTTTGATTCTCTATGGGCTCCCGGGGCAATTCTGCCAATCTCAAGTTAAAACATTTTTGAGGCACATTTTAAAAATATCCATTTTGTAGCATCAACAGTGTTCACTAATTGTTAGATGGGATGTAGGCTCTGTGGATTGAATTCCACATCCTAAGAGGCGGTTAAGGCACTCATTTACGGCGGGGGGAGGAGGGGGAGGTTTAAGTTAACCTGCGGGGGTGAAGGAGAAAAGAGGGATGGTTTGGGCAGTCTCTCACTTCTCAAGCTATGGGGAGGGGGGAAGGGTTTGGTTGTCCCTCCCCACCTCAGAGGGTGAGGGTCAGGTTCTCTCTGGTAGGGCAGTCTCCTCACCTCCCCCCACGCGGCAGGCAGGGGCTCTACCGGAGGGTAGTACTTAGGCACGTCCCAGGCCACTGCAGCCATGAACCACTTGAAGTCCTTGCACTTGAGCCGTTTTCGCAACTCCTTCTGGGCAGAGATGTCCCCGGTGGAGAGGTGCCTGTACTCTGGCCGTCGCTGGTAAATGTACTCGGCGAATTCATCCATCCAGGTCTCGGCCACACGCTTCAGGTTCTGCCCAGCAGAGACAAAGGCAAAGATCAAGTTAGTTATTGGTTTCTACGCCCAGAGGATCATTTTGCTTGCACCAGAAGCTGAAAACCAGGTGTCTGCAGGCAGCTCTGGCTGGTGGGTTATCCACAGTGAGAGTTTTCAGAACAGCACGGAGAATTAGCTGTTGGCTTCCTGCACAATCTGCTTCGGGCAATGGGGTTCAGCTGACAATACAGTAATTAACTATCAGAGCTGGCAGAGATTCTTCTTACAATTATGGCAGTTTCCCTCCTGTTATTTAATGATAATATATACTCATTTTATTTCTACATACAAGCAAAGGAGTTGAAACTGAGGAGAATGCAACTCCCCTTAGGCTATCTAATTGCTTAAAGCATTTCGAGATACAGGCATACAAGGATACATATGGTGCTAATTGTCCTGCCTTCAGCTGGAGAGAGAGAGAGAGAGAGAGAGAGAGAGAGAGAGAGAGAATTTTCAGATACTGTGACATCGACTCCAACCAAAATGTAACAACTCACTGCTTTAGGAAGTAGAAGGAATTACCAGAGAGCCAATCTTCTCTACAGGTGCTTCTTGGGGTGAACTATTCAGGAGACGGATGGTAGAAAAACGAGCATGCTTCTTAGAGGTAGAAGAACCCAATTGTGCATTGAGTGTCAGAAGGCCAGGCTTATTGTTTGTTTGTTTTTGAGACAGGGTCTCAATTTAGTCTTGGCTATCCTTGAACTCACCGTGTAGAGCAGTCTGACCATGAAGAGATCCCCCTGCCTCTGCCTGGGATTAAAAATGTGTGCCACCATGCCTGGTCTGGAAAGCCATGCTTTTGTTGGCTTTGGGGTTGAGCAAGTTGGTGAGCCACACTGGGTTTCAGATCCTAAACACAAGCATGGTGATGGCAGTGTGTGGGGTGGTTGCAGGAGTAAGCGATATTGTAAATTACCTAGAAATAGTACACACCAGGTATTATGAAAAAAACAAAACAAACAAACAAACAAAAAACCAGCTGTCATTATGAGTACTAGAAAGTGTTCAGGATTGGAAATGGAAGTGTCTGGCTAATAGGCCAGCCAGTATAACCCCATAGTTCCCAAGGTCTTTGAGAAGGATGTGGAGTGGTGATGAGATGATGCTGAAATCCCTTCAAGTCATGTGGAATTAAGTGGTAGACAGAACAAATGCATTTACCTAGAAGGTGCTAGTTTGATGATAATATGCAATGTTGATAACTTTAAAACTTGGTATCCAAAATTGACGTTAAGGTGTAGTTCTGATGACCCCCCAAATTATAATAAAGAACACAGAAATACTCAATATTTACCTATTTTATGTCTTTATAATAAATGAAAATCGTGAAAAAATTTGCAAAAACAAAGGTAAAGAGGCAAAAGGGTAAATTACTTGATGGCAATGAAAAAGGAACTTTGTGAGGAGGTATATCTAAGGTAAGCAACAAGGAGAACTTTCAGGAGGGTGCTTAATTCTCATTCAGAAGGGCAAATAGGATAGACACCAGAAGCAGTAGAAGAGAGGGAAATGTCCTTTGAAAGATTCCACCCAGCAGGGGATCTAATCAGATGCTGACTCACAGCCAAACTTTGGACAGAGAGCAGGGAGTCTTATGGATGAGTGTGTGTGTGTATGGGGGGGGAGGATAGAAAGATACAGAGGGGATATGGGTTCCACAAGAAGACCAACAGAATCAACAAATGTGGGCCCAGGGTGGCCTGCTGAGACTTATGCACCAACCAAAGATCATGCATGGATCCAGACCCTCTGCACAGATGTAGCCGATAGGCAGTTCAGTCTCCATGTAGGTCCTCTAGTAAGGGAACCAAGGTTTGTCTCTGACTTGGACTCTGTTGCTTGCTCTTCAGTCACTTCCTCCTGTCTGGGAGACCTGGCCAGACCATATAGGAAAAGGATGCAGGCAGCCCTGATGAGACTTGACAGCCTGGGGTCTGTTGGTAGGGGAGGAGGACTCCTCTTTTTCAGTGGACTAGGGGGGAGATAGGGGACAAGAGGGAGCAAGTATGGGACTGGGAGGAGACAAGAGAGAAGGCTACAATTGGGATGTAAAGTGAATAAATAAAAAAAAATGTATCCATTCTATTATAATAGCTTGCAAAAAGGACTTGTCACAAAAACTCTATTTTGATTTAAATAAAAGAGCAGTTCTAATTGTATGCACCAAAATTAGAGATAAACAAAAACACCCTTCTCCCCAAAACTTTGTTATATTGTAGTATAGGAGCTGGGACTGATGGGAAGGTATAGATGCAGCAAGAAACTATTGCCTTAGTTAGCATCATGTGCACATTCTGATTATATGGATCACAGAACCCTTGCAATCTAAAACATTTGGTGCATCATAGGGAGGAACTTTAAAAATCTGTATTCCAACAAATTGGAAAATCTAAAAAAAATGAATTTTTTGATATATACCAAAGTTAAATCAAGATGAAATAAACAGTTTGAACAGATACCCTTAGTAAAACAAAGGCAGTCATTAAAAATTTCCCAACAACATAAAGTCCTCATGCAGCAATAAAACTTCATCCCCAAATCAATTCTGAATAATTAAAGAGTGCTGAAAGTATCAGAACCTGAGTTAAAACTGTATTACAGATTCATAATAATGAAAATAACATAGTATGGACATTAAAATCAGAGATGTTGACCAATGGAATTGAATTAAAGAAAAGACAGCATCTTCAATAAATTGTGCTGGTCAAACTGGAAGTCTGAATGTAGAAGAATGCAAATAAACCTATATTTATCACTCTTAACAAAACTCAATTCTGAATGGATGAAAAGCATCAATAGACTAGATACCCTGAATCTGATAGAAGAGAAAGTGAGGTAGGCTTGAACTCCGAAAAGATTTTCCAGCTAGGGAATGTAGTGGTTTGAATAGAAATGGCCCTCATAGACTAGTGTGCTTGAATGGTTGGTCTATAGGAAGTGGCAATATTAGGAAGTGTGGCCTTGTTGGAGGAAGTGTATCACTGTGCTGGTGGGCTTTGAGGTTTGTTATGCTCAAGCTATGCCTAATGCGGGACACAGTCTCCTGCTGCTGCTTACAGACCAAGTTGTAGAACTCTCAGCTCCTCTCCAGCACCATGTCTCCCTGGAAGCTGCCACGCTCACTATGATGCTAATGCTCTAAATCTCTGAAACTGTAAGCCAGCCTCAATTACATGTTTTCTTTTATAAGAGTTGCCGTGGGTGTTTCAAAGCAGACACTAAGACTCATAACAAAACCTTGGCAGAGTGCAGGGAATCATATGAAAGAAGGGGAGTTAGTATGATATGGAAAGGATAGGAGCTCTACAAGTACCAAATATATCCAGGCACAGGGTCTTTTCTGAGACTGACACTCAATCAAGGACCATCTATGGATATAACATAGAACTTCTGCTTGGATGTGGCCCGTGGTAGCTCAGTAACCAAGTAGTTTTCCAAAGTAAGGGGAACAAGGACTATTTCTAACAGGATTTCAAGGGCAGGCTCTTTGTCCTCCCCACCTCCCTCCAGGGGAGGAGCAGTCCTGTTAGGCCACAGAGGAGGACTTTGCAGCCAGCCTTGAAGATACCTGATAAAACAGGGTCAAATGAAAGGGGAGGAGGTCCTCCCCTATCAGTGGACTTGGAAAGGGGCAGGGAGGAGACCAGGGAGGGAGTTGGGGAGAGGGAGGGAATGAGGGAGTGGGATACAGCTGTGACACAGAGTTAACAAATTGTAACTAAAAAGAAAAATAAAATTAAAAAAAAATTAGTAGTTAAAAAAAAAAAAGAGTTGCCGTGGTTATGGTATCTCTTCACAGGGATGGAAACCTTAACAAAGACAGGGAGAAACCTTCTGAAGTATCAGTTATGGGACAGCCATTATTCCCAAGTCATTGAATTGACTGGCCAAATAAAACCACTCCAAGGCCATTATTTTAGAAATAACAACACACGGTGTTAATTTGTGGCTGTAATCGTAATTCAGTACTTAGACTCTGGAAAAACATTGGAAGTACAGCTGAAAAATGTCACAAGCCATTGCAAGAAGACTTTCCATGGTCTTTTTACAGATTGCAGCACAAATTCCGCTATACCAGGAAGTAGTTATACTCACACGCATTAGAGAACATTGGCATGTTTATACAGGAGTGCAAATATACACATTCAAATATGTGGCAGTAATGGGGAAGGTGCAAAGGCAGATTTCTCACTTAGGCATTCATAGCTATGTAAATTTGCAAAACCATGAAAGTGAGACATCCCAATAACATCTTTTGCCAGAAGAGCTCTTGCCAGAACTTTCCCATCTGTCTCTGAGATAGTATGAATGTTCATGATGGTGCTGAGCTATTAGCAAAGCATAGCTAATAAGAAAAAAGGAAAAAGAAACCTTCGAGATCAGGAATTGTAGACATGCAATAAGTCTACTTCTGAACTCTCAGAACATAGGCATGGTCTTACAGAGGTTCCTGTTTATTTTTGAGTCTCAAATAAAAGTGCTTTGCTGTCAAATTACACGTTTTGCCTGCTTCCAGATTTCTGTGGATTTCTTGGGAAGGCGCCCATTTATACAACCTTCAATTTCCCACTTGGGGATTTTTTTCTCCTGCTGATATCTTGCTAACTAACCTCTGTGGGCACTTGAGTGGGGTTCACAGACAATTTTTCTTATCTCCTTCTTTGGTTCACCTGGGTGTGAATGTTTATGAAAGTTTTCCTGCAACTTTTAGAGCATAGATGATCAAACAACATCTAGGGTGATGTAAAATATAGTACTATATTATAAGGGCAAGTATACAGCTTGCCCTTAACACTGCTCTTTAATTTTATTCTTTGGTATGAAATGCCCTGCTTACAGGAACTATTCTATTCGTCCCCTTTTAAAATGAAGCAACAACTTCTCATCTTTCTCATCAGCTCTCCCTCCTCAGCCTCAGTATTTCTCCTATTTTTCTGATATTTTTCCTTAAAACACTTTTCTTATTCCTCAAA